ATCTATTCACTCTAACTCTATGCTTTGTGCTCTGAGTGACGTCACTCTCTAGCGAACACATCGCACAGATTGTTTTCAAAACGGAGCGAGTGAAAGGATCAGCCATCTGGAACTATTTCACACGACCTCAGCCAACACATTCGACAGCTACGTGCAATACGTGCACAGCGACGGTTCCAAGAGGTGTCACTAAAACTTCCAGTTATAACACCACCAACTTAATCAAGCATCTCCAGAGATTTCACCCTAAAGAGCGCGCTGAGTTTGTTGAACAGAATTCAACACAGTTTCCCGTATCGCACAGGAGTCAAACTCCAGGCCTCGAGGGCCGGAGTCCTGCAACTTTTAGATGTGTCTCTGATGCCACACAGCTGAATCAAATAAGGAGGTCATTAGCAGGACTCTGGATAACTTGACTGCATTGAGAATCTAATTCAGTCATATGATTCAGGTGTTTTGGACCAATACAACATTAAAAGTTGCAGGACTCTGGCCCTCGAGGCCTGGAGTTTGACACCCCTGCGCGTATCGGATCGGCATTGTGCGAGCCCAAACCTCCAATATCTGTATCGGAATTGGAAAATGTGGATCGGTGCATCCCTAATAATAATAATGTGTTATGTATTGTCATCAATGAATGTTCCCATACAATAGTGAAATTGGATCTCTGCATTTAACTCATCTACTGCCAGGTGGTGCAGTGTGCAGCTATTGAAAGTGCCCAGGGAGCATTTTGATGATAAGATGTGCTGCTCAGAGTCACCACGAGATGTGCAATGACTGGGGATCGAACCTGGGACTTTCAGGTCCCGAGTTGGCTGCACTGCCTCTTCACCGTCTCGACCCCCGTTTGCCATCTGTGTTTAACCGTCCAAAATCACGTTTTTGGATCGCTAAAAGCAGCTAAGCTGAGAAGCTAAGCTACGAACTAAGCTAACAGGCCGACCTCGGGAAAAAATACCCTCGTCTTGTCAAAGCTCCAAAAATTCACAGTTGATACCCGTGCCTTTGAGTGAAATGTTTTTTTTTTTTTCCAAAAAGAAACAGAACTTGTTTAAATGAAGCTTTGTGTGACAAATGCTATGCTAAAGAGCTCAAACCACACCGAGCGTCCGCCATTTTGAGAACCGAAAAACAGGAAGGAGAGACAGCCCACGTCACGTCTAAGGGCCTCCCTCCCACTTTTCTTAGAGACACGCTGCTCGCTCCCTCACTATCCATCCTTCAATAATTCTCAGTCAGGTCATCTGGACAGTTTCTTTAAAAAAAAATTTTATTGAGACATTTCGCCCTCTATCCAGAGGGCTTCCTCAGTCTGAGGAGTTCCAATAAACTGTTTCCCCACCAAGCAGTAAACTCCTTAAGTGGACCAACCAGTTTGCTGGAGCTAAGATGGTTTCTGGGGGGGCATCCTTTCCCCCATCAACTCCTCCCAGGCAGGCAGCCACAACCAAAGTGGTTCAAAGCAACAAAGTTCATGCTCAATCATCCAGGTGCCAAATCCAATAATTCTCAGTCAGGTCAAAAACGAAACTGCCCAGATGACCTGACTGAGAATTATTGGATTTGATACCTGGATGATTGAGCATGAACTTTATCCATCCTTCGGTTCAAACAGTCGTATACTGCCATCCAGTGGTCATAAAAGGTACTACACTCTAAACAAATCAATATTTCTTAAATTTGCCAATAATTACTAATTATTGTCAAATTTCAATCAATAATATCGTTTATCGCAATAATTTCTGGGACAATTAATCGCCCAGCAACATTTGTTATCACCACAGGCCTAATATAAGCTGCAGGTGTTCACGTAACATGAGTGTCAGCGCGCAGCTACAGAGAGAGATGTGCAGCTCTTGGTCTAGATCCAGAATCAACCACCAGATGGCGTTTTATAAACTTTATGTTCCTGTTCAACACAAACGGAGTGAACCCACAGGGCTTCATGACAACTACATTCATGGTTACTCTACTGAGCGGCCTAACACAAGTTAACTCATAATGAACACATGAACTAGGCTAACAAGAACAGACTAGTCACTTAAAGAACAATGCTAAACAGCTAGCTGAAATGATTAACAACGAACATCAGTTTTACCCATAATCCCCCTCTGAGGCCGGCACTATTTTTAAATGGATTTTTGGAAAAAGGAAAATCCCATTCCACAGAAAAAGATCTTCGTCATATTGTGAAACTGTTCTCTATTTCTGAACTAAATGTTTTCCAAGTACAGTTGGATTTTTGGCTGTTTCTGTTCCTTGACATAAAAATGTGACCCTTACGTCCTGCAGCTGTCCTATGTGGCCACGAAGCACTCGACCGTCATGCTGACGGGTTTACCGGAGGGAAACTACAAGCACGAGGACGTGGCGTCGCTGGTGTGGCGGTACCTCCCCGAACACAACCTTCAGTCTCTCTACTACAACGTGCTGGTTCTTCCTCTTCAGAGGAGGGTAAGGAGCTCCCGCCGCCATCGTAAACCAGCTCAGCTGTTCCCGTTGTTCAATTCTTCTCTCGACTTTCAGGCTTTCGTGTTTTTCGACGACCACGAGTCGTGCTGCAGGTTTGTGGAAGATTACATCAAAAATCCCGTTTCGCTCAAAGGAACCGAGCTGATCGTCCACCTCGTCCTGAAGGAAATGCATCCTGGATCCTGCGAGGTCTGTGTGCTGCTGTTAAACAAGTTGTCAATGTGAACGTGTGTCGTCGTACAGGTAACGTTGGAACGTGTGCGTTTTTACTGTCAGAGGAACCGCATTTACTGCAAACATGCAGTGTGAATGCACGTTGCTGAAGAACTTGGTAAAAACACACACACAGCTGAAATGAGCTAAAATGGAAGAACAAGCCTAAATTAGCAGAAGCAGAAATAACATATATGCTGAATTAGGTGTAACGAAGCAGAAAAATTAGGAAATTATCTAAAACCCCTGAAATTAGCAAAAAAAAAAATAGCTGAAAAGGCAGAAAGAAGCTTAAACTACCACAATGAAGTGGAGAGAGCACACTTTTGCTGATTTAGACTGAAAAAAGTCAAAATGACTGCAAAAAATCTGGAATTAGCTGAAAATTAGCCTAAAAACAGCTAAATTCTAGCTGAAATAGTAGAAAAAGCTGAAACTTGCATAAATAAGCTTAAAGGAGCAGAAGTTAGAAGTTGCACAAAAATGTAGTTGGCAGAAGGAATCTGAAAGGAGCACAAAACGGCTAAATAAAAAAAACAGCTGAAAAAAGTTTAAATTTGTAGAAGAAGCTGAAAGAAGCTGAAGCTGAACAAAATGTGAAAGGAGCAGTAAAAGGTTGTAAACAGAGCTAAAGATCTGAAGGAGGTAAAATGAGCTCAGTTCATTTTCCATGAGGAAAAAATGGCCGAAAAGGCTAAATATTTCAAAAAGCTAAAGCTGCACCAAAACCAAAAGTCATATCAGGATCGTCCTGAAAGAGCCGAACGTTTTGATTCACGATTTGACGAAATGGCACAAAAATTGTGCAACGAGAAAGATGCAGAAAACCGTACGGAAGACAAACGGATCATATTAGAGTGCTTCAGGAACATTCAGACAATAAGTGCGTAACCTGGAAAGCACGTGAGAAATTGATGTGCAAACAGTTTTTTGTTGTTTCTGCAGGAGAGCATGTACAGAAGTATGATGAAGTGGAGCAATGCTGTGAGTCGTTCGGTGATTTTTAACTAAACCGTCGTCTTCTGTGCGTTTTCTTGTGAACTGACCGTCGAACTCTTCCTGGCTTGTATTTCAGCACGTTCCAGAGCCGGAGTCTCTGCCGCAGCGGCTGCTGTGTGTGACGCTTTCTGAGACGTCGGTGCAGCTCATCATTGGAATCATGAAAGCCGTGACCAAAGTGGCTCCCATCGTCAGCTTCCTGCCGCTCGCCAACAGGGTTCGACCGTTTGATTTCCAATTCCTGCCTGGTTTCTTGTTCGTCTCCTGTTCGTGACTCTCACTCCCATTTATTCACAGAACTGATGAAAAAATTTAACAAAGCATCATTTTAAAGATTTTATATCTCTTTCTGCTTTGCACAGTGAAGTTTTAATGTTCATTTCTTTCTTCTTAATGGTGTCACATGATCAGTTTGGGCTCAGAATGTGTTTTTGGGATCACCTTCAGCTACTACCACAGCTCCTAGCTCAGTATTTGTAAAGTTAAACAAGAACTTTTTTTTGTTTGTTTGCAGAGTTTTATTAGACTTTAAAGTTGTTGTTAAATAAGAACAAAACTGATTTACTCATTGGATCAAAAAA